GCGGCCGCGCCGCTCGGGCCGGCCGGAAGCGGCGAGCGGGACCGCGCGGGCGGGCGCGGCGCTGACGTGGCGGCGGCACCATGCGGGGCGGCGGCTCGGTGAGTGCCCGCGGTTCTCCCGCCGGTTGCCCCGGGGAGCGCGGCTGGGCGGCGAGCCAGGGGCTGCCGCGAGGTGGGCTCCGCCGTCGGGATGGCGGGAGCGGGCCGGCGCCCCTGGGGGTCTCGTTGGGCCTGGCTCTGGAAGGAGAGCGGCCTGGCCCGGCGCGGGGAGCAGCCCCGCTCTGTTCGCGGGCGAGCGGGACCCGCTCCGGGCTGCCGGGGAGCGGCGGCGGCAGCGGCCACTTTCCGCCCCAAGGCCGGGCCGCCCCTGACTCTGCTCGGCTCAGGCCTGGCATGGGCCCGCAGCTGGGCACTGCTGACGCCTTCGCTGGGGCCCAGAGGCCTTCGCTGCAGGACAACGGAGTTCATGGAGCGTGCGGGTGGCAACGGGAACGTGGCGCTGGACACTGAGCCCTCCCGCGCGTCCCGGGGACGCTCGGGGCCCGCAGGACGCCCGACGCTCCCACTGCCACCTCAGGACCCGCAGGTCCTGTGTCAGAATCCTCCCGTCGGGCAGTTCCTGCGCTGGGCTTAAGCACCGCGTGCCTGGGCTCGATGCTGGGGAGCAGCCCGTCTCCGGCAGCAGCCGTGTTCCAGCGCACCGGAAGGGCCTACAGCCCAGGGGCAGAGATCGCCCTTCTCCATCTTTCAGGCTCTGAGCCGCTGTTTCTCTTCCTTACCTGTGCAAGGGAGGTGGCATTTTTGTTTTTCCTATGTCCAGCCCTTGGGCATTCCTGCATACATTAGGTCTCCTCTTTAAGTGGGAAGTACACTGTATAAATGAAAAAACATTCAGAACTGAACTTAAACACCACTTTCTATAGGTGTTTCCTTCGTAGTTGCTGCTATCAACGTCTCAGAAAGGAATGTCTGACAGATCGTCTGCACTCTCCTTTTTTATTGCAGATCCTTTGCTGCCACCAAAGTTCTGTGTACTAATCTTCACTTTTATGCAAATTTTTTTTAGTTCTAAAAACCCCATGAATCTTAAAACATGTGCAACGTTTGTCGGTCATTTTGGTTCTTCTAATGGTAGACTAGGTCAGCTAATTTCAGCAGACTCTGTCTGCCTCTTTCTTCAGTTTTATTGTTGTAACTTCGTAGCCTTGATTTTTTTTCTGGCTGCTCCTCAGTGAGGTTTCTCCACATTTCTCAGTTCCTTAACATTTCCATGAGGAGCGTCTGGGGCTGGAGTCCCAAGGAGAGTCTGATGCTGCACAGACAGTTTTAAGAATTCCTCTAAATGTTTGTGTCAGTGTGTGCTACTGAATTTGTTCACTGATGGTTGGAGTGTCTCTTACAGTTGATCACATGCATCACATTTTTCTATAAAGAAGACGTAATTTAGCAATTTTTTTTCTTTTTTTTCCCCTTCTTTTATTTTTTTCTGCCAGTTTCTTAGCCAGTTCATGTACATGGCAAAATACTACCTCTGTTCACTGAATTGCAGTTTTGGTTTTCATATGCTTCCATTGGGCAATGATTTTTGTTTTTTTAGTCTGTATAACCAAGATTTTTGTCCTGGGTTTTCGAATCAAGAATGACATTGCGTCATTATTAGCATTTGGAAGAAGGTGATGATTAAATACAAAGGGTAACAGTGAATGGGCTGACATCAGACTGGCAACCTGTCACTGGTTTAAATTTAAAAATAAATTTAAAAAAAAAAATAACTGGGAGGAGCTGTTGACTCCCTTGAAGGCAGGAAGACCCCACAGAGAGACCTCGACAAATTAGAGGGCTAGGCAATCACCAACTATATGAAGTTCAACAAGGGGAAGTGCCATACTGTGCTCCTGGGATGAGGCAACTCCGGATGTACAGACAGACTGGGAATGAGATGCTGGAAAGCAGTGCTGGCAAAGGGCCCTTGGGGGTCCTGGTGGGTGGCCAGTTGGGCATCAGGCTCAGCATCGCCAGCAGGGTCAGGGAGGGGATTGTCCCACTCTGCTCTGACCTGGGGCAGCCTCACCTGCAGTATTGGGGCAGTTTTGGGCACCACGATATAATAAAGATATTAAGCCCTTAGAGAGCATCCAAAGGAGGCAGCAAAGATGGAGAAGGGCCTGGAGGGGAAGCCGTGTGAGCAGCGGCTTCGTGTGTTCAGCTGGAGAAAAGGAGGCTGAGGGGAGACCTCACTGCAGTTGCAACTTCCTTGGGAGGGGCAGGCACTGAGCTCTGCTCTGTGGGGACCAGGGACAGGACTCCAGGGAATGGCTGGAGCTGTTCCGGGAAGGTTTAGGTTGGATATTAGAAAAGGGTTCTTCACCCAGAGGGTGGTTGGGCACTGAAACAGACTCCCCAGGACAGTGGGCGCAGCACCAAGGCTGTCAGAGTTCAAGAGGCATTTGGAAAATACTCTCGGGCACATGGTGTGACTCCTGGGGAATGTCCTGTGCAGGGCCAGGAGTTAGACTTGATGATCCTTGTGGGTCCCTTCCAACTCGGCATATTCTGGGATTCTGTGAAATGGTTGTCCATGCACTAGGAGCAACATATAGCAGATAAGTTGTTCATACTGAATTGGGAATGTACATTTAGATAGGTCTGTTAAATTACATGTCTTAATAGGAGCATAACAAATGGTAAGTGACAAAAAAAATCTTTGTTAAATAAGGAGTCTGTGATGTGGATAAAGTGAACATCTGGACAGCTGATGGAGTATGGCAAAGTGAGATTAATGAAAAGAGCATGAAGAAGACTAGAGACAACATTCTCAGCAACATCCATGATAAATACAAGAATTAATTAAGGAAAAAATAAGCACTATGTAAGAATTAACAAGTTAGTATCTAAAATATATGTCACCGTGTGATAAAGTCTAAGCAGAAAGTACGTATGGCTGAATGTACTGGAGACAAAGAACACTCCACCATTTCCCATTGCAAGAGGAAGAATTGGTTTTCATATCAGGAGGGTGGAGGGGCTCATCCCTCTTTTGATTCCAGTTCTCATTCAGCTGCAATTGGAAATGTTAAGCACTTCCACTGTTGTGGAAAACAGTGGTTTCCTTTTGGAAGGGTGGTGTATACACATCTGCAATGTGCAGGTGATTGGGTTTGACTGGAAAGTGAAACGTGCTGAAAGAAGACAGTGATGATGCTCATGTCAATTGTTCTGTTTTGTTAGCACACCAGGACTGGACATCACAGACAGCAGAAGGTCAAGAAGTCCTTGGAAAATAAAAAGTATGTGAATGTTTCTTGTCTAGTTTGACTGAGGATAAGAAAAAAGCTGACAGATTCTTATTGAAAAATTGTATGTGGTCTTTATATAATATTGTGAATTTTAAGAGTTTAGTTTGTGTGATAAGAGTCTCAACTGACTCTGCTTATTGGTTTATGGGAAAAGTGCTTTTCTGACACTTCAATGTGGGTTTTTTTAAATTTTTTTAAAGGGTTTTAACACTGTGAAGATAAATATTTTAAGTCCAAGACCACATGGTCTTCCAAAATCTATGTATTTTGGGTGTGATTGTAACTGAAAAGCTTTAATTTGAGAATTCCTCTTCCCATGCTTCTGCATTATCTCCTTAAATATAGTATATATTGGTCTGACCTGGTACTGTCAACGTCCCCCACTTATTAATTCCTGAATTGATGGGTTAAAAGTTGAGCTCCATAGCTCAGGGTGTGGGAGAGTATTTATGGAATGGCTGCCACAGTCATCACTCAAGTGATCTACTTATTTCAGTTTGTGAATTGTAGTAGCAAAGTGTTTCTGTTCTCTGTTTTTTTCGTCTTTACATTAATGGTATTTGCCCAGAGAATAGATAGTCTGTGTTTCTTTGACACCCATCAGTTTGCTGTTACGTACAGGAGTATAAATGTCCAGGCATGTCAAACCTGAGAGAATTATTTGAGAACAGTGAAACAAAGTTCTGTTTGATCTCTAGGAAAAAAATTCAGTGCCACTGATTAATCTGAATTAGTCTTAATGTAGTTTGATTTGTGGGATATACTATAAGGTTGTCTTCATTGTGGAAAGCCTCGCTAGTTAAAATTCTTACTAGCATTAAGGCTTTTAATTGTGTAGTGCCAGCCTTGACTCTGGGAATAGAGACTGAAGGAGATCTTGCCCTTTGTGAGATGGAAGATGTCTCTTTTGTAATGATGGGCTGCAGAAAAATTTTTATATTCTACATTGGTTGCTTAAAGATAAATGCATATTTTTAAGTTGAGATTCACTTATGCCTGCTTCTAAAGTTGAAGGTTTGAGGTAGAAGGAATATTTTTCTGCTCCTCTTGAGAGCTTACTAATGACATTATCTAAAAGATGTACTGAAAAATAACAGCGAAGATGGTTTATCTTGATGGCATTTTTCAGTTCCCAAAACACAGGAGATTTAGTGAACTATGGGATGGATGAATTTTTAGAATACTTGGGAAGATGAAAGGGGTATTGTCTGTCAAGTTATTGTGATTGTGTGTATATATATATCCATATACAGATGTGCGTCCATATACATAGGTTTTCAACTTGATGTTTTCCAGGTCTAAGCAGTTTGAGGAGGTGGAAACTACTGTTCTAGGAGTGAACAGTAACTATGATGACACAGTGAGCAACATTTCTTCTGCCTCACCGAAGGGCCCAGTGAACGGGAGCACAGAGTCCAGAAGCAAGCGGACCATTCGCAGACCTGCTTACTGGCTGGAAATGAGAGGAGTGAAAAACAGTGTTAACAAATCTCCAGAGAAAAAAGGTACTTATCACTGTTGGTTCAATGCAAAATGTTCTTCTCTCTTGTTCTTTTGTGAGAGATTAGTTTGCTTCTGAAAGATATGCTGCAGTTCAACCATAAATTACAAGTTTCCTAGTGCTGCTCATGTATTAGAAGAAATAAACTTCTTCCACTGCAGAAATATGGGTACAATTCTCTGACATTACACAGTTCCTTTTGAGTGACTTGTCTATTAAAACTGATGATTCTGTGGCTGAACTCGATTTTATCTGTAGAAGAGATAGGTGGAAGAGTTACGCCAATCATATCAGAAAAATGCTTTGAGAGCTTTGAAAATAGAACCATCAACACTGAAGATGGGCAAAGGGGACCATTCAACAATATTTGGGATTAGACACAACTTTTGTGTTTGATAGGTTATTATTTTTTAAGGGTGTCTTTATTTCTTTTATTTTCTTATTTCTGTCATTTATGGTTTTCTGACTGGGAGTTGGGTCTTAAGTTGTTATAGGAACATTCAGATTTCCTGGCCTAGGAGCTGTAGGCAGAGAGCAAAAACTACAATCTGCTTTATTGTTCTTTCTTCTTATCTCTAAGTCAGAATCTGTATTCCATCCTGTTGTGGGGAGAGGCAAATCCAGTAGCTTGATAGAAACAAGATTTCTGCAGCTCCACACCCCCAGATCCAGCTGGTGGCAAGACTGTGTGTGTATTCCTGTAAGAATAAACGCAGACATAAAACATACATACACAGCAGCCACACAGATCAGCACTCACACAAACAGCACCAACAGCCTCCATCCTGTTCCCTCTCTGGCTGATCAGGATGAAGGTGTGTAAGTGAGAGAAAAGAAGCATATAAAAAGGTATATATAAAAGCAGTACATGTATATGCATGTATGTTTGTGCGTGCACACATGTGCAATGTGGATCTCTCCTGCAGCTGGACTTAAACACTTAGTCTACTCAGTACCTGGCCTTTGGATCCCAGTATCCTCAGTTACTGCTACATGGAGGTACTAGCCCCTGAAGCCAGCAGAGCCGTGCCGGGGGGGTGGGTGCAGACCTTACAGACAGACTCACACTCACAGAGTGCAGGTGAGGTTTTTATGACATAACCTGGCACCTTCTGGGTCTCATCCCGAGGAGGATTATTTTCCCAGACCATGCTGTGGCACTGCTTCTTCCATACCTTCTGTGTCAGAGAATTGCAGGCTGTGGAGTGCCTAAATGTTGCTGAGTTAGAAGACTAACTCACTAGTTAGAGTCTAACTCACTGGTGTCCAGGTGCCTTACAAGAACTACTCTTTTTTTTAAGTATTGAATCCAAGGGTAAGATGGGGCAGCGTAGACTCAAAGACTGAATACTGAGAGTGAAGTGTTTCTGTTCTTACTTATCAGGAGAAGTATCATTGAAAGGCAAGAGGAAATCTGAGCAAGGGGAAGGCGAAGATGTTGAAGACTCTCCCAAGAAGAAGCAAAAAATTTGGGGTAATACAAATAACTTGTAATTCCTAACTACAAGCCTCCAAGTACTTCGGACTTCTCTGCCCAAATGTCATCTTCTGCAGTCTTCAAACTTTATTTTGGATTCTGGATATTTTCTTCTAGGAGACTGTTGACTAGTGTCTGCTTTATGGTGGGAGATGATTGTTGTAATTTCAGTCTGTCTTAGAAGTCCAACAAAGGGAGGGAGGAAAGGAAATAGGGGAAGTGTAGGCTAGTCTGCATGGTTTCAGTTTCCCCGAAAGATTGTAGACTAAATAATCAGACAGATTACTTGTAAACGTCTGGAGATTAGTGAGTAGATGATAACAGCAATATGGGTTTGTTAAGAAATCAAACCCAAACACTTTTCTTTTGCCACAGAGACGGAGGGGAGAAATGCTTGATATCATAGGCCTTTCATTCCTTCAAAAGGTTTGTCCATCAGTAGTTAGGTGCAAAAGGAGATGTACAAGTGGTGAAAGTAGGAGCAGGTGACACAGGAGAAGTGTACATTTGCTTTCCAGTCTTGCACAGATGAGGTTAGGAAAGCCAAGGCCAACCTGTATTTGAATCTTGGAAGGCATGTGAAAGGCAACAAGAAAGGATTCTACAAGAACATAAACAGCAAAGGGAAGACTAGGGGAAGCATGAGTGTGCTGCTCACTGGAGCAGGAGAACTGGTGACAAAGGACATGGAAAAGGCTGAGGTACTCAATGCTTCCTGTGCCTCAATCTTTATCTGTTACAGGAATCCTTCAGGAATCCCAAGAGCCTGAGACCAGACAGAGGGAAAGTCTGGAACAAGGAAACCTTACACTCAGTGATGGAGGACGAGGTTAGAGCACTTAAACTGGATTTATCAAATCATTTGCCAGCAGCCCTGGTTAAGGGGGAAGGTCCCAGAGGACTGGAGGTTAGCCAGTGTGACACCCATCTGCAGGAAGGGTCAGAAGGAGGATCCAGGGAACTACGGGCCTGTTGCTCTGAACTTAGTGTCAGGGAAGGTCATGGAGCAGATTATCATGAGTACCATTATGTGGCACATCTGGGACAACCTGGTGATCAGGCCCAGACAGCATGGGTTTAGGAAAAGCAGGTCCTGCTTGACTAACCTGATGTGACAAGGTGATGCATTTCACAGGTGAGGGAAATACTGTGGAAGTTATTTACCTGGACTTTAATAAAGCCTTTGACACCGTTTCCCACATCATTCTTCTGGAGAAACTGGCTGCTCATGGCTTGGACAGGGGTGCTCTTTGCTGGGTAGAAAGCTGGCTGGATGACCGGGCCAGAGAGTGGTGGGGAATGGAGTGACATCCAGCTGGGGTCACTAGTGGTGTCCCCAGGGCTCAAGATTGGACCATTGTGGTTTGGTATCTTTATTGGACAAGGGGATTGAATGCACTTTCAGTGAGTTTACAGATAACACCAAGAGGGCTCTGTAGAGGGATCTGGACAGACTGGATCAATGGGCTGAGACCAACGGTGTGAGATTCAACAAGGCAAAGTGCTGGGTCCTGCCCTTGGGTCACCAAGGTCTGCCCCAAACCCTGTGCAGCACTACAGGTTTGAGGCAGAGTGGCTGGAAAGCTGGAAAAGGACCTGGAGGTATTGGTCAACAGTGACTCAACATGATCCCAGGTGTGCCCAGCGGGGCAGGAGGCCAGTGGCCCCTGGGCTGTCCCAGCACTGCTGTGGCAGCAGGGTCAGGGCACTGCTGGGGCACCTCCAGTGCTGGGGCAGCTCTGGACCCCTCACACAAGAGACACATTGAAGGGCTGGAGCATGTCCAGGGAAGGGAACAGAGCTGGGAAGGGACTGGAGCAGCAGGAGCGGCTGAGGGAGCTGAGGGGGCTCAACCTGGAGAAAAGGAGGCTCAGAGGGGACCTTCTGGCTCTGCAACTCCCTGACAGGAGGGGGGAGCTGGGGGATCGGGCTCTGCTCCCAGGGAACAAGGGACAGGAGGAAAGGGAATTGGCCTCAAGTTGCACCAGGCTTAGATGTGATATTGGGAACAGGTTTTTCCCCAAAACGGCTGTCCAGCCCTGGCACAGCTGCCCAGGGCAGTGGAGGAGTCCTCATCCTTGGAGGGACTTAAAAGCCATGTGGATATGACCCTTGGGGACATGGATTAGTGATGGCCTTGGCAGTGCTGGGGAGTGGTGGTCTTAAAGGGCTTTTCCAACCTAACAATTTATGATTCTAAGTTCCATGGGGCCTGACAGGTTGCACTGAGTGCTGAGAGCTGGCTGATGCCGTCGTGAAGCCACTCTTGGCTGTCTTTGAAAGGTCGTGGCGACTGGGAGAGGTTCCTGAAGACTGGAAGAGTCTTCAAGGAAGTCTTCACTTGTATCTTCAAGGACAGAAAGAAGGAAGATCTGGGGAACTACAGGCCAGTCAACTTCACCTCAGTCCCTGGGAAGGTGATGGAGAGATACATCCTGGAAAGCATTTCCAAACACATGAAGGACAAGATGGGGATTTGGAGTAGTCAACATGGATTCATGCTGGGAAAATCCTGTTTAATCAACCTGATAGCTTTCTACAATGAGGTCACTAGTTTAGTGAAATAGGAGTATAGAATGATGGTTCACAGTCTGTCCCTAGATTCAATTCTAACTATTGATTTTGTCACCAAGGACTTGGAACTATGTAGGCAGCACAAAGCTGAAAGAGATGGTAAGTGTATCAGAGAAAAGACTGAAAGTGAAAGTGGTCTTGAGGTTAGAGAAACAATTTAAAAATAGAACAGAGAACAATGTATAAAATTAAAAATTCTGTAGTTTGGGAAGAAATGCTATCACAGCTGTAAACCAAAGAACAATCTCCCAGGAGTCAGTGCTTCAGAAGAGGATTCAAGATTTATAACAGATCAAAAGCTGAATAGGGACCAGCAGTGTCATACTTGTTTTTAAAAAGGCAGATGTTAGACTGAGAACTTCGAGAGGAATGTAGGGTTCTCAGACATGTGAAGTAATTCTCTTGCTCTACTGCAGGGTCACACGTGGAATGTTGTTTCCAGCAGCAGGCACTTCAGTTCAGGAAATGTGTGGTCCAGCTGAAGAGGTCAGGGAGATGAGAGCAAAAAGCATAACCCATGAGAAAATGCTGAAACAATAAAAGTCGTTTAGTCTGAAGAAGATAGGAGTGAGTAGAGAAATGGGACTTTCCATTTGGTTGTCATTGTGCTCAGCCAAACTGTGCACAGAGGATGTTTCAGTGTGAAGAGTTCCCATTTCCTGAGCTTTGTGTATGAAAAACCATACACCTAAAAATATCTGGGTGGGACTAATGTCTGCCGCTGTAAATAGCCATGGATTTTGAAGGGGAGTAGGAAACATAATCTTGAAATTCCTTTAAAAAAAAATTGAACATTTCTGAATGAGTAACTTTGAGACAACAGGCAAAATAACAGCCTTCTAGCAAAAAGATCTGGTTTTTTGTAACAAAGCTAGCAGAACTAAGTCTTCTGGTCTGTCTTGTTTGTGTTATAGCAGGAAAAAACCGGCAAGCTGGAACAAAACAAAACTCCAAAAGGAAAGGCCGCTGTGTTCAGAAAGAGACAGAAACCTATGGCACAGGTAAGAAGAGGCAGTTGCTCAGAATTGTTTATAAAGCAGCTAAAAGATAAATGTGATTCTAGGATTTGTATCTGAGCAACAGCTTATATTTCTGGTGTTTCCATTTGGTTCTTTGCTTTACTGTTGACAAGGAAGAGCTGGCTGCTGTCCTTTTGGCACCATGTCAGTACTGCAGAGCAGGACTGGAGGGACTGCACACTGCCTGAGTATAGTTCCACGTGCTTTTGCCACTGCATAATGGAACAGTGAAGGGGGAATCACTTTTTGAACTGAAGAAAAGCCTATTAAAACAGTTGCATTTAAAACCTCATAAAAATATTTATATTTTTTACTCAGCAGAATGTTTGCAGGAAAAACTCTGTAGCTGTTGCTGTCAGATCACCTTTTCTGGGAACCAGAGACTCAAGCAGTCTGTCCTAGAAAAGTAAAACTAACCTTGACTCAGTGAGTGGAATCACTCGGTATTTGTAGTTCACAGCACTCATTAAACACTCCAGTTTTCTGCCAAGTGCTGTTTGATTCACAGACTTTTCCTCCAGCCACCTGGGGAGAGACAGCCTTGAGCTGCTATTACTGGGAAAAGAGGAAAGCCTTTGGATCTTGTAATGGTAAGAATTCAGGCAGATGGTGCTAAAACACTTTCTTCCCAGAACCAATTTCAGTAATTTATAATCCTTGTGGATTATATGCCAAACTTTTGCTTGGCATTTTGCAAAGAGGCCATGAAGTGGAAACCATGTCACACAGAGTGCTTTTCCGTGGCTGTTGACCTGGTGGCGCAGCTAAGCATTCATAGAGTTATAAAGATCCAGTTGGTAGAGAAAAACCATAGACTTTGCCTGAGACTGTTCAGTCACATCTGTGACTGCTTTTGCTGGGAAAACCCTTTTGCCAAAAGACAAGTTTACTCAGCGTGCTAAAGTAATTGTGTAACAGAAATGAACAAAGGAAAAATCTCTACCAGACAAGTGGAAGAACACTCCTAACAAGGGACTGGTAGGATTAAAGAGTGTCATGGTTTGAGAGCTCCAAAATCTAATTCCCTAGTCCAAGCCCCCTCTCACATCTCAACCCAGTGTGAAATGTTTTTTCCAGACGTTACACGAGACTCAAAATGGGGGAAAGGGGATGTATTACAATGAGTGAACAAAATAAATACTACAATACTTTATATACAATCTTAGCTATCTCTACCATGACATAAGTATTTACAATGGATCAAATCTCTTCTCCCCTCCAAATAAAAGTCCAGGAGGGAAGAAGGAAGATCCTTTCTACTTTCAAAGCAGCAATGTCTCTAAGGCAGCAGGCATCTATCCTCTTCTCATGCAGCAGTAGCTGGATCTCTGCCAGTACTCACGAGGGGTATCCAAGCCCCCTCGGCCACTCGTTTCCAAGCGAGGTTCTCCTTCCATAGGCTGTGTTCACCAGGACAAGGGTCACTTCACTACGTCATCACAAAGCTCAGGGGTCTTCGTGACGGTCCTTATCTTCAGGGGATTCAAGTTCCCTACAGAGCTCTGTGCTCTGTCTCAAGCAGTGGGGGGGCAAGGTCACCCTCCACATTCTTCTTGGAGCTTTTCAGCCCCTCTCTGTAAGTGCTGTAGCACTTTAAGACTCTTTCAAGTAAGAGTCCATCATCTTCCTCCTTTCTCGGAGGTCTCAGAGGGGTATGGGGTTTTATTTCAGTTCTTACCCCAACTTCCTCTCTCTCTCTGCTGCTGCCGGCTCTCGTTCTCTTTCTCTCTCTCCTTCCAGGAGTTCTCTCTGTGTTCCAGCCTGCCTGTTGTTGCTGCTTGGTCTTATCTCTTCTGGCTTTCTGCCACCACTCCATCCACTGCTGTTCTGCTGCTGCTTTTCAGTATCTTTTGCTGCGGCTCACAGTGGAGAAACATCCCCCGGCTCAGCTACAGACACTTAGCCCAGTCTAACACTGCTCCAAGTCTCTGCAGCCCCCCCCCGCTGTGGCCCAGCCCCCAGTGGGGCTCCTGCTGCTTCTCCTCGTGGCTTTCACAACATGGCTACTTCTTCTACAACAAAACTACAACTACCTTTTCTTCCATTCTGGTTGTGATATGTTTATATTTTGCAGAAGCGCTCATTGGGTAAAACCTCAAAACTTCAAGGGTCACCACCCCCTGGGGTTTTACCATTTTATAACTTCAGGGGGAAAACTGTTTCCCCCCACCACAAAGAGTTTTGTAAAATGCTCTTCCAGAAGGAGTGATGTGTGCCTTGTCACATGACATACTTAAAGCTGCAGATGAACTACACCTATTGAAGTGTAGCTGGACATGAGTTTGGTAGCATGTGACCTGTTTCTTTCCAGAGTTCATTGTGCACATTGAAGGAAAAAAAGATTTTGTGTTAGCAGTTACATTCCAAACGTTGTGTTTTGACAGGTAGTATGGAAGAACAGTGGTCTTTGGAGATTCAGGACAAAGGCCGAGTTACCTGTCCCACATGCCGGGCTGTGGTGAGAAAGACTGTAGAAGGACTGAAGAAACATATGGCAAACTGCAGGCAGGTAAGAACACGAGAGATGAGCAATTGTTTCTTTACTTCTCTTTATCTTGCCACGCTGTTTTGTGTTGGATTTAAAACCAGTTTCATCATCATCATATCCCTAAGCAAGAGTCCTTTATACATCTGTAAGGGGCTGTGCTTGGTGCTTCTTGGTCCAGCCTTTTGCTGGAGGTTTGGGGTAGTGACCAAAGGTGTAGCTACTTCATTGTTCCACTAAATTTTAGACTCTGTAAAATCTGTTCTTAGAGGGCAGTTACCAGGTCCAAACCAAATGTTATGCTCTCCTTCTCTCTTTCCCCAAAGTTTCCCACTGCTTTGATTAATTAACACTGTGTCCTTGTTTATTTCTAGGAAATGTTCACATGTCATCAGTGTGGGAAGCAGCTGAAGTCTTCAGCAGGGATGAAATACCATGTCATGGCAGACCATAACAATCAGGTAACACAACTGCTGTGCATCTAAAACTCCTACAGGAAGAACAGGCTTTTGTTCCTTCCCTGGCACACACAGAAACAGAACATGGGGTGGTTTTTTTCAAATGTTGTAGCTATTCAAATCTTGTCTGCCTATTATTTTTCCTGTGAGACTTGACATCTGAAAAACAGTAAAGTAGGGATGCCACATCGTGAAAAGAGGGGATGAATTTCTGTTTCGACTGATAATAAGTCATGCATAAAAGGCATTCTCGGTCAGAAAGGAAAAGATTGCTCCTTAGGCTGCAATTTTCAGTCCTTTGCTAGAAAGCAGGAGGTTGTTTTTTTACATCCAGAGCAGACTAGATTTAAGTTCTTTACGACTTCAAAGGTAGAAAAGCAGAACCAGAAATTAATTCTTGTCTCTCTTTACTGTAAAAATACCAATGTTACAATCTGCTTTTCATCTTCGCTGTTACTTTAAAGAAGGTACTGTCTCCTGTTGTAGTTGTGAAGAATTAGAACTTTTGAAACAGTTGTTTGGGTAAGGTTCAGAAAATTCACAACTGTAATTTTTTACACAATTCCCAGTACTGCAGTTTCTGAACCTACAGCTGTATTAGTAAATGGTACAGACCAGGGATCATATTCAGCACCTGAGGATTAGGTCTGTCACTCAGTTCTAACTTTCTATTCAGTCTAAGTGTAATATTGGGTAGTGTAGGAAATAATATACAATAACCATCAGAGAGAGAATAAAGAGCTTGAGCTGTAGTTTAGCACAGATAAATAAGTGTTACAAGCAGGCTTTACTCAGGCTAAGTGGAAACACTAGGACCAGTAAATGTTAAAGATGCGTGATTTTCTGTCAGTTTACTCCTTTTAAAGATAATTCAGGTTTGGTTTAACCCCAGCCAGCAGCCAAGCCCCACGCAGCCTCGAGCTCACTCCCCCACCCACAGGATGGGGAAGGGAATTAAAGAGTAGAAGTGACAAAACTCATGGATTGAGATAAAGACAGTTCAATTGGTAAAGCAAAAGCCATGCACACAAGCAAAGCAAAACAGGGAATTCATCCACTGCTAGCCACAGGCAAACAGGTGTTCAGCCACCTCCAGGACCACAGGGCTCCATCACGCGTCATAATGGCTTGGGACGACCAACGACATCGCTTCGAACGCTGCTCCCCTTCCTCCTCCTTCCCCTAGTTTTATATGCTGGGCATCATACCATGTGGTCTGGAATATCCCTGTGGCCAACTGGGGTCAGCTGTTCCAGCTGTATCCCCTCCCCTGCTTATGCGCCCCCAGGCCACTCACTGGCAGGGAGGTATGAGAAGCAGAAAAGACCTTGATGCTGTGCAAGTGCTGCTCAGCACTGACAAAACCATTTCTACGCTATCAGCCCTGTTCTCAGCATAGATCTGAAACACAGCCCCATACCAGATGCTGCAAAGAATACTCCACCCCAGCCCAAACCAACACAGATATGGAAAGTGATCGTTTAATAAATGCACATCCATAAAATCATAAGTTGCAGACATTTAATTATTTTAGAAGCTTTCCTTCAGTAGAGTGTTTAGTAGTGAATTCCCTATGAGAAAAACTGTAAATGCTGAGTATCATGTGTTTTCCATTCATCTTTCTGCTGTGCTTTAGCCAGTTATGAAGGAGGGAGAGGAAGTGGACGAGCAGCTTGAGCGAGACCGCCTTCGGAAGGTTTTGAAGTGTATGGGAAAACTGAAGTGTACAAGGGAGGTAAGCTGCATTGTGCAAAGTGTGAATTAAACAGCAGTGGAGGTATGAACATAGAACAGGAGAGTGCTGTTGGGTATGCTTTGGTGCTGGCCAAAGCAAGGTTTGTTTCAAGATCGTAGCTATGCTTTTAAGACAGAGTCACATAGAATCATAGAACGGTTTGGATTAAAAGAGACCTTTAATGATCATTTCAATGCCAATTCTTTGTTGCAGATTTTGTCTATCTGAATAGACTAACATTAAAGTTTTCTACCTGCTTGTCTCTGTTCTGTCAGGAAAAGTGGTAGTACTTTGGTCAGCAAACTGTGTATACACTGGTCTCGTGATCACTTGGAGAACGGTTTTCTTCCATGTATATTTCTTCTGTGTTGACAGGGCTGCACAGGCAGCTTCACCAGCATAATGGGATACCTGTATCATGTTAAAAAATGTGGGAAGGCTGCTTCTGAGCTGGAGAAAATGGCTATGAAGTGCCATCACTGTGGAAAAGCATACAGATCAAAGGCAGGACTGGTCTACCACCTCCGCTCTAAGCACGGGCCGGTGAGTGCACCTGACCTGGTTATCAGGGGGCTGTGGGAGGACCTCAGCCTCTCAGACTTGAGACACACGTAAGCTTTTGTCTGCTACTTTGTTGTGTAATTACGGATCACAAACCTTTGCCTTTTCCTGTCTCTCTGGAGTAGTCCTTGATACTTTCCTTCTAGCAGCAGCTGTTTCTTTTCTTTGACTAGGATGAAGCTTTTAATAGTAAATTGGCGTGGCAGCAGTAGACTTTCCCCGACCTGACTTTTGCTCCATGGAAGAGTGATACTAACATAACTTGTGAGATGCTTTTCTTTGCTCTTAAAAGACCCACCATTGGAGCAGAACAGGCAGTGCTGTGGTTGTTGTCTACAAGGGTTTTACAGTGAATGATGAGATACCTTTCAAGACCAGTGACTGCATGAAACTTTCTGCTTGAGCTTCACTGCTGTGACCCCCCTGAACAGATCTGGGGGTCTGTCTCACTAGTGGGATGCACTTCTGTCCTATGTCTGTGACAGTGAACCACAGCTGCTGCAGCATTTTTATGAGGAATTTGTCAGAATATTTATTCCCAGTATTTAATGTAACTGGTGGAACTAGTAATGTAAATGGAACTAGTGAAGGAGGCTCACCTTTTTTGGCCTTCACTGCAGGTCACTTTCCTCCATGAGGAGAGAAGAACAGGGAACCTGATAGAAATGAAACAGGAACAAAACAACACAGGCAGAGTTCAGAGGAGATCTGCAAAGGTGGCAATCTACTATCTCCATGAACTGGCTGGAGAAGAGCTGGCCAAAGAGTGGCCCAAAAGAAAAGTTCTGCAGGACTTGATTCCAGATGACCGGAAGGTACAAGGCCTTAAAAATGCTTTATAGATTTGAGTTTTTACCTTCATGTCAGATGAGTCTTGTACTGGCTCCTGCCCAGTGTTTAGTGGCCCATGGAAAGCAGTATGTGTTGTGGGAGGGATTTGGTTTTGCTCTCTTTCACCTTAGATTACAGTACTACGGCAGCAGCAATTGCTGTGGTGTGTTTTGTCCAGGCAGGCTGTAATGACTGTAAAGTCCTATTGCTGGAATTTTCAGTGGACACAAGGAACATGGGCAGTTATGGGCATGATTTTGCTCATAAGTCATGGGCTACACATCACTCCAGCCACACTGTGATATTTCCGTGTTTCAGGCTTCAGAATTTCCAGGATCATCTTTTAGACTGTAAAGGAAACCTAAGGGAAAATGATGCTTTATGATTTCGGTGGGATAAGTACATTTAGGGGAATTGCTGTAGTCAAGGCTATGGGAAGTTTCAGATTCTGGTATTGGGAGGGTTTTCCAGTTTCAGTTATGTTTATAGGCAATCAGTGAGACAGGAAAACATTGGTTATTGTGATTTTGGCTGCTAGAGTAGAAGAAATAGCACTTCTGTCTCACAGTCTGGAAGAGGAAGAGGCATAGCTGGCAGTCTGTGTAGCCAGCGTTGCTTCCAGCTCTCAATTCCATCTCTATCTCAGCTGAAATACACTCGTCCTGGACTGCCCACGTTTAGTCAAGATGTGCTGTGCAAATGGAAAGCAGAGATAAAGATGTACCGAAGAGTCCACTGCCCAAATCAGGTAATCCTTAAATGTTTCTGAAGCCTCAAAGGGGACAGATTTCATGTCTCTATGAGCCAATAGGCTTTCCACAACCGTGAAACTGCAGTTTGTCTCTCTGTGGGAGACAAATCCTGCCTCGTCTCAATATGATTGTTTAGTATAATCAAGACACTTGGGGATGTCAGGGCATGCTCCTTTTGCCCTTTCTATCCAAATACCCTAGTAATGATCCTTTGGGAATGTGTGTGTTCACTTCAGAGCCAGTAACCTGGTGTCAGACTAGTACAGCTTTTGCATCCAGGTGGGAGCTGATCCATTTGGAGGTTTGAGCAGTGGAAAAATGACAGGCCCCTGCCTTTCTAGCTAAATCTAATTGTAGAAGGGAGGAGTAGAGGGACTTTGTCTGGCACAACACTTAAGCTTTCTTCATTCCACTAGACCAGCTCTAAACCCCATCCAGCCTGGCCTTGGACACTTCCAAGTGTCAACAGCTTCTCTGGCCAACCTGTGCCAGGGCCTCACCACCCTCACAGGGAAGAATTTCTTCCCAATATCCCATCTAACCCTGCCCTCTGGCAGTGGGAAGCCGTTCCCCCACTGTCCTGGCGCTCCAGACCCTTGTCAAAAGTCCCTCTCCAGCTCTCTTGGAGCCCTCTAGTAATACCATGCAGTAATCACCAGTCAGATCCCATGAGAACAAATGGCCCAGTTGGTGGAGGTGATGGTGGATGTGACCATGTGGTGCACACTGTCCGAGAGCCAAAGGTCAGTGGCAGCTGCCCTCTGGGTTTGGTGTAGGGATGATGCCTTCCCCTTGCCCTACCCCACCCCCAGCACTCTCTTCCCAATTATCAGGCTTGCATCCTTTCCAAGTATCAGAATTGCAGGACTATGCTGTGCATGGAGCTGTCTCCAGGGAGCAGCTGTCCTGTGTCACCAACCAGTAACCCAATAGCTTGTCTTGCTCGTCCCTCCTGTCCCAGGGCCTGGTACCCTAAGACTGATGCCTGAAGCTCCCCATGGGACAGGCCTGCAAAGCTGCCTGTGAACTGAGACCGGCGATGTTGGGCACTGTGCCCCTGCTCTGTGCCACTAGAGACACGAGCAGCATGGGAGAGAGTACCTGCCCATGTCTTGTACCTGCCCCTCTGCTTTATTTGAAATTAATCTCTGTTGCACTTCAGGCAAAAAGCAAAGTATCATTTTAATCAGGCTTTTGATAGAGGGTGAGTGTAGCTGTCACAGGAGTCTCTTCATTATGTCCAAAGGTGCTCAGAAACTGGAAAAACAAATATTAAGCTTACTGAAAGCTTAACTCTTTTCAATGGTCTTTTTACCGGAAGCTTTCTGGCTTTGTAGGACTCCATATCTCCCTTCCTCTACCTCTCTTAGCCCTTTTGGAATTATCTTCTGGACAATAAGACCTTGCGCAGGAAGAAGTGATTTCTTACTAGAATGTTACTGACATGCTTTTTTTATTGTTTCAGGGTTGTGAATCTGTGTATGGCAGTGTCTCAGGACTCAAATCTCACCTCGGCACATGTACCTTGGTTGGTAGCCTTCCTGTAACAGCCCCACTGTCCCTGTCCTTCTGATATCCCTTTGTTCAAACTGTTGTCCTGCCGTCTGCTAATCTGAGATCCTCACAAGTTCATAAAATCACAGAACGGTTTGGGTTGGAAGGGACCTTACAGATCATCTCGTTCCAACCTCCAATTTGAGTGCTCCCCTATGTGCTACTGAGGCTGCCGTGGCAAACACTGCTTGAGACCAGTAGGAAGCACCTTAATGGCATCCCTTACAATGAAACAGCAGTCTGACCTGTAGATGCACAGCTACAAGAGCAGTTTTTCCAGATACAGTGCTAGAGACCTTATGACATCTCACAGAGCAGTCCTATGCTTTGTGGGCACAGCTGGTCAATCATGTCGGTGCTCCTGGAGCTAGAGCTTTGTCTGATATGAATGAGAGTTTCTAGTTTTTACTGGGTTCTATCTGAGCAAGATTCAAATGCAATATAGAGGTGTATCAGCCTCCTGGTCAGCAATTGTTGATGGATTTTTTTGTTTTGTTTTGATGCCAGGGAGACTTTGTGGCTGGTAAATACAAGTGTCTCCTGTGTGAGAAGGAGTTCATTTCAGAGAGTGGGGTCAAGTATCACATCAACTCTGTGCATGCTGAGGTAAGGCAGGTGGAGTGGAACTTCAAGTCCCAGGCTGTTGGAGGTGGGGAGAGTATCTTGGGAAGGAAATGCTGGGGGTGTGCCCTGTTTTATTTTTTTCCTTCCTTACTGTTGGGAACAGGGTCCTAGACTGGAGTGGCCTTTGGTTTGCTTGTGTTAAACAGCTGGTCTTATGTTCCTGGTCTTACGTGCCTTGTCTCAAGCTGCTGCTGCTCAATTGAGCTCTGCAGCATTTCCCAAGCCTTTAACCAGGCAATTGCCAAATCAAATCTGCATCCTTCAGACAGAGTGACACTTGAGACACATCAAAGAACAGTGTTGTTAGGCAGCTGCCTTTCCAGATCTCACACTTCAGGAAAACTTGTCCCACAAGACAGCTTTATTATAAGCCCTGATAGGCTTTATTTGGTATTTCCACCACCATCAGTACCAACCTGTTGCCTTCTAAACCCTGCAGGACTGGTTTGATATGAACACAATGACCACCAAAAGCTTTGAGAAGCTAATGAAAATCCGCCAAAGGGAAGAGCAGAGGAAGCAACGGAAGAAACGTCCTTTGACCAGGGGCAGAAAGAAGAAAGCCGGGACCCTGGCTGCCAAGAAGCTCCCCACTGCTGGAGTTGAAAAAATGAGAAAAAATAAGAGGGGTCGTCCACGGCGGGTGAACAATGAGAGTGCGAGCAGTGAGGAAGGGGCACCCCAAGTTGCACAGAGAGCTGAATTTCCTAAAACCAGCCGCAAGCGAGGCCGAAGCAAATCCCTAGAGGATGAGAAGCTGTAATTCTAAAGCTTTTCAATTACAAGCCCCACTTCTGTCCAGCTCATAACTCACAGCACTAATATAAGCAACTGGATGTCTTTGGGACTTGTGACTCAATTCTGCTCGGCGACTTTGATATTGAAACTTTTGCCTCTGCTCAGTTGTGAGGGATTCAAACCAAAGCTGTGGTGCAGAGGCTGCCTCTTCTGGTATAGTTCCCTTGGACAGTGGCATTAGCAGTGTACTCAGTGTGATTCCTACTCTGGTTACATCCCAGTCTCAGATTGGTCACATTAATTGCTTGTTTAGTGGTTTCCAGTACAGCAGATGTCTGTTTTGTCATCTTCCTCAGATGGGTGAGATCAGGGTTCTTTTTTAGCAGTTCTCCCCATAAGGGACTGACTAGCACAATGTTTAGGTCTCTTCAAGGGGGAAATCCTTTCTTGCACAGAATGCACACAAACTAAGCAGTGCTGTGCAGAATGCAGTCTTTGGCTTGCCCTATCACTGTCCTGTCTGTTGTCAGCAAGGCTGCCACAAAAGAGCAGAGACCTTCCCAGTTTGCTGTAGCCTGTTGCACAAGGCTCTAATTCATGCACTGGTGTTTAGGCTGAGCAGCAGATGAGCACAGGTCTGCTTGGAAGGGATGGGACATGATTATTGCCTTTGTCAGGAGCCCACCGTTCCCCTGGCATCTGTCTCCTGTAATGCTGGGCATTAAAGATGCATAAAGAGTCTTCTAGTGCAGCAAGGAATAGTTGCTCTCCAGCCCTTTTTAGAGATTCACTGGCCTTTCAGAGCCCCCAGTAAGTAATATACTGAGATGGCCTTTGTGTACCCGCTGAAGCCCACTTGTTTCAGACTGACCTGGGAAACGTACTGCAAGACAGTGCACACCCGCATTAGCAGCCTGCTAGTGCTGGAACCAGGTTTCATGGAACTGCCTTGCCAGCATGTGGTTCTTTGTTGTGCCAGTGCTTCCACAGTGTCCCTTTGTCCTGCGCTGCAGATGCCACCTCCATTGTCTTACATCACCTGTTTCTTTTCAGCACCACTTCCTCTGTGCTAATGACATATATTAGCAGTGGCTGCCCTGTGTAGAAAAGGTTAGTAGAAGAGGGATCATCATTTTAAGTCATGTGTTGGCATTAGCTCTGTATTATAAGGAATAATATCTTCCTGTGCTCCATAAATCATAGAATCATAGAGTGTTAAGGGGTTGGAATGGACCTTAAAGATCATTTAATCTGCACCCCCCCAACATGGGCAGGGACACCTCCCACTGGACCAGGTTGCTCAAGGCCTTATCCAGCCTGGCTTTGAACACTTCCGGGGCTGGGGCATCCACAACCTCCCTGGGCAACCTGTTCCACTGTCTAAATGCAGCAGATGTCATAGAAGCTACCAAGAAGCAGCAGCACGGGCAATCCTATTCTTTTTCAAAGACTAGATTCTCCAGAATTTCTGTTATCCGAAGACCCACTGTACCAGGAAGTTGCAAAATTTGCACTGTCTGACAAAGTTGCTGCTGCTGAAATTCACAGTGAAGCAGGAAGCAGGTTTGTACATGTGTGTTATTACCAGCATGATCACATTGGCCCTGATGGGGGGGAGTGCTGTACGGCCAGGGTGGTCTCTGAAACTGCCTTTGGAACCAGATGCCACTGTGCTTGCAAGTGCTGCCCTGAAAGCAGACATGTCTGGACTCTGCAGGATGTGTAAGGTCTGCAGTGAGATGGGCAAGATCAGAAGACAGCAAAATAAAATGTCACCAGAATGTGGTTTCTTGTCTGTTTGGTGTGTGGTGGTCTTGGTACCATCCCTCCCTACACAACGCACCCCACCCTGCCCACAGGTTGTCCTTCCTGTTGTGGTGCTGTTCAGTTGTCTGCACAGTTTCTCCTCAGAACTCCACACATCCATACTTTGAACAAACATTCACTACTTTCCCACCCAGTACAATAAACCTAGGAATTAAATGAGGTTTTTCTTAGTGGATTTCAGTCTAGAGTCCTATTTCCTGTCATTTAAAAGTTACTAACAAGACCTCTGTAGACATGGATAATTCATGACCGCCTGGATTTTGTAGTTAATTCAGTAACTTATTCTCCTGCATAATGTGGCATGTGGAAGAAAATCATTCTCTGACAATCCATCCCTGTCCATCAGCATTCCAGCAGATTGTTTGCTGGATTGGCTCAGGCTGGTGCGAGGGGGTGAGGTCGCTGCGCAGCACAAGCACGCTGCTTGTGAGGAGTGAGGTCTGTCCAGGAGCACCTGTGTCCTGCCAGAGGGGGGCTAAGGCAGGGACTCAGGGAGACTGTGGCTGTGATCCACTGCTCTGAGGGCAAGGGGTAAGTTAGCAGAATCCCCTCCCTCACCTGCTACCCATGGTGCAGGAGATACAGCCCAGGACATGGGGTTTCTGGACTGCCAGGGCATGTGGCCAGGTGATGTCCAATTTAGTTATCCCTAGGTCCTTGTCCATCAGGCTGCTCTCTATCCATGGATTCCCCAGGTTCCTCTGGATGACATCCCTTCCCTCCAGCAAATCAACTGCACCACGCAGCTTGGATGAAGATATTACACAGCATTGGTAACACAGATCCTGGAGGAAGGCTGTCCACTGACCCAGCAAACTGGGCCTTGCTCTTACCAAAGAGATCCAGCTCTGATGGAGTCAGAGGTGATAAAAGAGACCAGCCAGTCACTCAATACTTGTTGCAGTGATTAATTGCACTAAAAATGCTGTGTCTTCTCGTTTGAACTTGTTTTAATTTCAGCCTCTGTAATCTGCCTGTACTGCTCAGTCCTGGTAACTGAAATAGTTTTATGGTATCAAAAATTTCTTCCTGCATATTTGTGCTTGTTATTAAGATATATTGGTATTTGCTTATTAGTGAAGATTTGCATCTGTTTGTTAATGAGATATGAAGGTATCCATCTTCCTGTATTTAGAGACTAGTCAAGGCCATGGAAGTAGATAGCTGGCCTCGTTTGACAGTAGAGGGTCCAAATCGACTCCCTTGATTTCTTTTGAGCCCTGGCCAGGCTTTGGCTGAAAACTAAGGAGAGAAGAGAGCCAGATATTTTCTGCACTGAATAGTGACATAAGCTTGGTTGTTTAACAGTATAAAAGCTGGACCCTCTCACAGCGCAGACAGAGCCCTCACCTGCGAGTGGTCGCGGTGTGTAGGATTTCCTGTTTCCAGGGAGAGATTCTCTGGCCCTTCGCTGTGATCAGGGCTCCCCAGCGGGTGATGCGGATTGTGGTAATGTATTAAAGGGTAACTGGTGAGGTATCTTTCTTAATCACTATAGACATTCTGTAGTGATGATTAGGTGCATTGCTAAGCTTGTCTTTTTTAATTCTTTGCTTCTTTTGTAATCCTTTGCTGTGTTGCACTATAGTAAATTTATACATTTATTTTTAAAGTTGGTGTCTGTGTTTCTTGTGCTGACCCTTGTCCCCTGGCAAAACAGTACTTCACAGAGTTACTCTAGCAGATACCTTAATAACTGTATGTTTTGTAGAGCAACTTTTCCAGAAAGCTTGGTTACATAATCAATCTTTTCATTGCTTTAATTTGTCATCAACTTTTTTAATCTGCAGATTTTCTTTGTAATTGTTATATAATTTCATCAACATTCTTGATAAAGATGCCAAATAGCTGCAGATTCTGGGATTCTCTAGGACAAATCCTTATTTACAATTATTTAATAACAAGCATTTAATGTGTTCCAGCGACATTTGTTAACACGTGGGGCCAAGAACATGGCCTTACAGAAATTTATTATGTCAACAGCTACTTTTACAAACATGGACTTGTAATAATTAAAAAAAAATGTTTACAGAAATCTGTTCTCTGTGAAACCACATTGGTCAGTTTTTACTTATGATGTCCTTTAATCTCAATTGTTGGTGTGTCTGGGAGATACCAGAGCGATAAGCTGTACTTACCCATCACACAGCTTGTAATTTTTAAAATATGGGCACACTGGTTTTGCTTTGGGGTTGGGTTTTTGGTTTGGTGTGGGTTTTGTTTTGGGTTTTTTTTGAAGAGGAGAGAGAATATATTGTGGTTTGGGAGTTGTTTGGTTGTTTTGTTTTTTCTTAATCCTCAAGGATTTCCCCATTGTTCCAAGAATTGTTAAAAGTCATTAATAATTCAGTAGTGTTCAGGAAAGTACTTGCTGTCCTTCCCTGCAAGTTGTGCAGTGCTGTAGCTTTAGACATGTTTAAGCTGTTTTAATAATGAATTAATAATAGTAAGAAGAATGTCCAAAAAAATGGAGCTGTTGTGTCAAGAGGAAACTGTGAAATGGGGTGCAACTCATGCAGAGACATCCACTGCAGTTTGTCATTCCTGCCTGCATGGAAAAAAAAGTGTGATGCTGAGTGTGGCACCTGAGGATGAAATCACTGTACACCATGCAGTCAGCTCTATCACTGCGTCGGGGTGGGGTACGTCCTGTTTTGTTTGGCATTCTCCTTTGCTAAGGGCACCACACCTGTGCCAGACAAGCTCTTCTGCTGCTCCACTTCCCTTGCAGTGACATTACATGTAAGTGGGATGTTTCCCTGTGCAGCTGCAGCTGTTTAGGAGCCTGGGATCAGTTCCCAGAGCAGTCTGGTCCTCAGTGCTTGCTCAGTGACCTCCATGGCGAGTGCAGGGTTAATGTCACACTGGGATATGTGACTGTAATGCTGATAATGAAACCAGCATTAAGCATGATGCTATTTCTCGAAGTGTTGCTTGACTGAAGGCCCTCTGTCTTCAAAATTAAGTAGGTCAATCTCATAATTAAAATACAGCAGGATTGACAATGAGATTGGGGGTTGGTGGTTATATTGGGCAGCTCTGCTGAGACATTAATTAGTACAGTGTCCCTTTTTTATGCATTTTGTATCAGGTCCAAAACCTCATCTGAATTATGCTCAAAGGTCTTCTGAATCAGAGGCTTTTGTTTTCAAAAGGTGCAGTTGCATTTCAGAAGGAAGTCTCTGCCTTTCTTCAAGCAGGTAACAAAAATCAGGTAGTTATTCTTCAAACGTAGCCTGCATTGAGCCACAGAGCCACCATAACCAGAGCACAGTTCCAGTGATTGCCTGGAAAGACAGAGCCAAATTAAAGGTTAGGAAAACCACAGCCAGTGCTGTCAACTTTCCCTCCAGCTCCTCCTCAAGGCCAGGGAGGCTATTGGTCCTCTGCATGCTTCAGCAGGGGCTGGTCCCCAGATGTGCTGGGGTGGACAGTAGGGCCTGTCCCTCACCTGCCCTTGGCTGGCCCTGCTCCCTCTGGGGCAGCCACAGCCCAGGGCACTGCCACAGCCAGTCAGTGTTCCCTGCTGGCCTGGGCAAGGACAGGTGGTACCTGTGGTGCCATTTTCCTGGATGGCTGCTTCACTTCATGGAAAGCAGAGACCAGTTCATGCAGCAATAAGGGTTATAGGAAGGAAGATGGCTAATGTGCAAAGGAAGGATGTGAAAGGGAGACAAACTTCATCTGGTTTAAGTACTTGGTAAGCAGGTAAACCTCAAAAGAAGACATTTCCACACACAGAATCGTAGAATGGTTTGGGTTGGAAGGGACCTTAAATGTCACCTGGTCCAAGCCCCCATCATGAGCAGAGGCATCTTCTACTAGATCAGGTTGCTCAGAGCCCCATCCAAACTGATCTTGAATGCTTCCACGGACGAGGCACTCACCACTTCTCTGGGCAGCCTGTGTCTGACCATCCTCATTACAAAAAACTTCTTCCTTTAATCTAAATTGGCTCTCCTTCCGTTTAAACCACCACTCCTTGTTCTATTGCAGCAGGCCCTACTAAAAAATCCCTCCCCACTTTTCTTGTAAGCTTCCTTTAGGCACTGGAAGGGGCTCTAAGGTCTCCCCAGAGCCTTCTCTTCTCCAGGCTGAATGACCCCAGCTCTTGCAGCCTGTGTCCAGAGCAGAGGGGTTCCAGCCCTCAGAGCATCTCCATGGCCTCCTCTGGACTTGCTCCAGTGGCTCCACATCCTCAGTGTTTCTCTTCATGCTGAGAACCTCAGAGCTGAATATCTTCAACTATTTTTTGCCACAGCTGCATTTAGAATTTCTGAAAGATTTTGAGAAGGTCCCAGACCTCTTTAAAAAGTGAGCTTGCCATGCATTAAACAGAATGGTTGTCATGTTGGCAGTTAGATGAAGCATTTGGAGGAGCCATCTGGATTTTCAGGGAAGTGAGGCCACTGGGAGAATCCCACAGGGATCCACATTAACACTGGACTGTTCAAAATGTTACCCCCATGATATAGGAAGTAAATGGGCAGGGATGAAGGCCAGGTTTGAGGATTACACTGAGCAGTAAAAATTAAAAGGTAATCACAAAGAAATGCTGAAGCATCTTAAAATATTAAGTGTTTGGGAGGTGGAACAGCAGATGAATTTCAGTAGTATAAAATGAAAGGGCCCTGATAGTCTCTGTACATTGCCCTTGCAGCCCTTCAAAGGTGGATTGAGTTGGTGTTTAAAATGGCGATATCCTGAAAACCTACAAGAATACTTCATAACTTCTTAGGCTGAAGTGAACTCTTTCCTCTTCAAAACGTCTTGCTGTCCTACATCAAACACCATCCTTCAGGATAGACTCCAACCACCCTGGCCCTGGCCCCTGCTTCAGAACTGTTTCTGTGCAGAACAGAGGCAAATCAGGGAGGACACTTCAAGCCTACTGGCACTGGCTCCAGGCACTGCATCGGAGCCCACTGCCTGCTGTAGGGACACGTCACATCCCTGACACAAGTGGGTGGCTCAAAGATCCAAAGCCAACCCACAGAGCCTGGTAAATCCTGCTCTTTCCAGCCAGGGTGACTGGGTCCCTGCCACCCAACAAGGGAGTCTGGTCTCTGATATCCCTGGCCGGCTCTCATCACTAGCCACTTTCATGTGAGGGCTACTCTAAGGCAGTGCCTGAGCAGGAGATGGAGGTTCCATGGCACCACACCACTGCCATGCCTGGCACTTGCCAGTGCCTCTCCATTGCATGGGCTGCCCAGTCAGTGCCTCATCTCATTGTCCCATGTCCCTGACAGCTCCCTGCCCTAAGCCAGGGAGATACAGGCTTTGCACAGGTTTCCCCTCCTTCCCCACCACCCTGGCTCTGCACATGTCCATGTGGAGCACTGCACAGCGGCACAGGCGGGTTCAGCACTGCGCTGAGCAGAGGTGTGTGGCAGAGCCAGGATGGTTGGCAGCCACGTACTCTCTCCTTTCTCTGGGAACTTCACCTCTGCTCCCAGATTACGGAAACAGCTGCACAATCAGCGCAAGCAAACACAGAGAGCAGATCCCAGCATCAGCGATGCATATGGCAAATTACTTTGGCCCTGTCAGAAGCGATGCCAGGGAGGAGGTGTCAGGGGAAAGGCAGCAAGACAGCCCTCAAGGTGGAGGGAGGAGGCTGGAAACCAAATCAGCATCCCCCAGTCTCACACTGAGAGGAACAACCAGCCCTGTTCTCCACGTGGGCCAGGCCAACACAGGCTCAAGTCCTACCCCAGACACAGAACAGACCATTCCAGTCTCTGCAGCAGCGATGCTGCATGCTTGGCAGCTGCCAGGCATTTAAAAAGAAGCTGTCAGCACATCCCCCTCGGTTTCATAGTTTCTAGGCTAAACAACCCAGGCTAATTTAGGCTTTCACCATAAGCTGCTTTTCCCAAAACTCCCTCTTAAGGATTCTGTACTGGGTTTGTGTGGCAAGGTTTTGGGGGGGAGGGGACAGTTACAGGGATGGCTTCTGTGAGAAGCTTCTAGAAGCATCCCCACGTCCGAGAGAGCCAATGCCAACCAACCCCAAGATGGACCCACCACTGCAGCAGCCAAAGAGAGGAGTGAGGGTATGTAAGAGCAAAACCCTGCAGCCCCGCAGGTCAGTGTAGAAAGAGTGGGAGGAGACGCTCCAAATGCCAGAATAGGGATCCCCCTGCAGACCCTGGGGCAGCTCATGGTGAGGCAAATGTGCTCCTGCAGCCCAGAGAAGAGACCCACCTACAGCCCCTGGAGGTCCATGTGGGAGCAGAGACCCACCTTCAGCCCATGGAGGAGGCCATGCAAGACCACAGGAAGAGTGTGAGGACCCTCTCTCTCAGGAGGAAGGAGTAGCAGAGACAAGGTGTGATGAATTGACCCCACTCACTGTCCCCTGCACCGCTGAGGGGAGGAGGGAGAGAATTCAGGAGTGAAGTTAAGCCTGGGAAGGAGGGAGGGGTGTTGGGAAGATTTTAAGATTTGGGTTTATTTCTCATTGCCCTACTTGATTTGATTAGTAATAAATTAAACTAATTTCCCCAAACTGAGTCTGTTTTGCCCATAACAATAATTGGTGAGTGAGCTCTCCCTGTCCTTATCCCAACCCATGAGCATTTCGTTATATCTTGTCTCCCCTGCCCAGTTGAGGGGGGAGTGATGGGGCAGCTTTGATGGGCACCCAGTGTCCAGCCAGAGTCATCCCAGCACAGATTCCCAGGTGAGTTTTCTCCCTCCCTGAAGGAGGGAGAAAGTCCCTGGCTGGACACCAAACCCCAGAAGAGACACCAGCACTACCAGGTAGAATATCAGGCATCAGAGCCAGACCAGGTTTCTGGCAGGATGTGTGCCCACTACAGAGGTGTGTGACAGTTCCTTCTGCATGGCAGCTGGTCACTGCAGAGCAGCTTTCACTTGGGAGTGCAGTGTTTGCCCAGTGCTCCTCGTTGTCTTGCTGATGGGGGTTAGCTTTTCTGCCCCACATTCAGTGCTTTGTGCATTTATCTGAGCAATAACAAATAAACTTCTTCCCCAGGGGTGGGCTTTGATATTGCCGCTCAGGAACTTCCATCAGTTGTGTGTTCACTGACCATGACAGTACTGGATATTTTTGCTATTGATAGACCTGTTAGATCCTTTTTCAGCTTCACCAGACTGAAAAGGTACAGCTTTGTTGCTTTCATGTGGTATAAATTATCTGGGAAAGGGCTGAGTGGTAACACTCTTATCAATACATTGACACACAGGAAACCCACATTTCAAACACCAGATGGTGTCTAGTTGTCCCATCTTAAAAGAGTATAAAGAAATGATCAGCTGTGAAAGATGACCAGAGTCTGCCCTGTCACAGATGGTGCAGTGCAGATACACAGCGAACTGTTATTAACTGTTTCTTACAATAGAAACTAGGAAGCGCCAGAAGAAATAATTGGGCATCTGGTCTAAATGCAACAGAATAAATTACTTTTCACATTGTACATAATTACATGGCAGAACTCTTGACTTCACAATACCCTGTGATAATAAAAAATATAAATATCAGTTCTTGGGCATACTGAATTCCTCAAATCCAATTTTGCAGTGGATGGTTAAAAAAATGCCATCACAAAATAAACACAAAAGGAGGATCAGGAACTATTAATGGTTAGTGGATATTAATGATTAGCAGAGTGACCCTCCACATTTTATAAAGTTCATAAAGTCTCAAAGTGCTCATATCCACAGTCTGGTCATGGGTCTGAGCCCATTCCTCGGGCAACTGAGGACTTTGCTGTAGCAGCTTTATAGGAAATATCTGTGATTTACTGTACTTTTGCCCTCCATTATTATTATCACAGGAAATCAATTAATTAATTCCACCTCCATGGAGGAGAAATAGGATACAGAAGCCAGCACACACACATGGCTAAGTAGATGGGAATGAACCCTCACAAAAACCTTGGATGTTTTCTTCCAGTGAACATGGCAACAGTTGAGCAGCAGCCACGGCAACCCCAGTGAGAAGACATGGTAGGCAGGCATGGGACTGGTTGGGAGATGGGCTCTGGTGGTACCGGGGCAGGTCTGGCATGTGCACTCTCCCCAGCCCTCCTTTAGACCAGCCAGCAACAGGTTGAAGGAAAATGCTCACCTGGAAAAGGCCACCTGAGTCACGGCAGCAACTGCCAGCTGCTTCCATAGGCACAGTCAGGTCACAGCTGGCCATGGGAGGCTCTGCAGCCAGGATTTCAACGGGGACAGCACTGTTCTGCCACTCTCTAGGGGCAGACACAGGCAGAACTGGACTTGTGCAGACTTGCTGTGTCAGAGAGAGGAATGGAGGACACAGAGATTTGCACATTCCATAAACTTGCTGATTTGGGGAAAATAAGTCCAAGAGTGTTGCGTCCTGTGAAGGGAACAGTCACAGAGGTCCAGGACCCCACTATTGCAGGTCACATCATGTTAATTCCTTTCATAAATCTGTAAATGCCACCTCATGCTAGTTAAAAGCTGACTAAGGTTTAGATTAGGGACAAAAAATCCACGCATCCTTTGTGGGTTTCATTTAATCAATAACATTCATACACTACACAGTATGGGGCAGATTCTGCACAGGCATATCATCAGTCCAAACCTTTCCCAGCTCCAGAGTGCCATGGACATAAACACACAGGTCAATTCCAGAGGTGCTGGCAGCCGTTGCCAGTGTATTCAGTACTGGGCAGAGGAAGATGACAGCAGGGTGATGTGATGCAGATACAGGAGACTCCTGCACCATGGTCAGGACATTTCCTTGCTGCCAGCACTTCTCCAAAAACCTCACATTTTCTTGGGGCAGGCTGGGACTCCAGGGCCCACAGCCCAGGAGGCAGAGGTGAGGATGGGATCTCAAGCCCGCTGCTGGATTTCCCCACTGAATTCCAAGTACAAGGCACTGCAAGGCATGTAACAAAATTTAGACGTTTTAGTTCCTGATTTGTGATTGCAAATTGAATTTTGCCCGGCCAAAACCCCAAACACTCAAATGTTAATTAAATGTGTATGGAAAGTTTGCTCTCTCAGTATTTATTATTTATAGATTGAACCCACAAATACAGATGTGTGTCCCCTTCTCCCAAAGCAGACCATGCTTCTCCCTGTGCACAGTTCCTGGGCTCACAGAGTTGTCCTGAGTGGCATAGCATGTCCTTCCCTGTGTCCAGCACAACTGATCCAGAGTGTGTGAAGCCTGAGAATGCCATTCAGCCAACAGTGGTTGCTCAGGGTGGTCAGACACAAAATTTCCCAATCACAGCATGATTCTCCTCCCGTCCGAGCAATAGGGCTACAGCCTGAAGCCTGTCCTGTCCTAGGGAAAGGACAAAGAAACCAAACCCATTGCAAGTGGCTTTGGGGGGATGCAGAATAAACTGTCACACAGTGCTAATGCTGTTTCTGCTGTCAAAAAAAATCATTACCCACTGATACCTAAAATTGACCATACTGAGCTTTCCAAATAATGTCTTTTAAAAGTTGTCACATCCTCTTTATCTGAGCACTCCTGTGCAGGCCAGAGCAATGCTGGGCAAGCCAGGGATCCTTGGCTGGTAGGCAGGCCATGGAGCAGTTAACATTAACATAAACAGCTAGCTCTGCATTAACCATATGGTTATCAGAGTGACCAAGTGAGAATGGGTCTTGCAGAGAAGAGACAACTGGCAATCTGTTCCTGTAAAACCTCTTGCAGTTGCCAGGTCTACTCTTGGCTTTCCTGAAGTTCCCTCTCCAGCACGCAGATTGAGGGAGAAGGAGCCTTCTAACAGGACTCTACTGGGAAAGCAAAGCTGGCTCACCCTGCTCCCCACCACTGTAGACTGCAATAGCAATTACGTTCAGCACAGGAAGGAGGTAGGCTCCTGATGCATGAAGAGTGCCTGAAAAGCAGCATTAAATAACCTAGGTGGGGCCATTTCGACCATCCAACCTGCCATGGAGCTGCAGAGTTAACATAAGTCCTGCTAGGCTTCAATGTCCACTTGGCTGGAACTTGTCCCTTGCACAAAGACACTGCAGATCAAATCCTTCCCACAACTACCTTGGTCTTCCACAGCTCTCCCCAAAGCACAGACTGATTCTCCTATATCTAGGAAAGACCTCCTGCAGTGACCAGGAAATACTTTTAGGGGCCTCAGTGCACTGAACTATGCATGTATGTGCCCACATCTGCACACATGCAAACACTGATGTACTTTTGCTGTGGGCTGACCTCATCCAGGCCATGGTCTAAACTGCTATTTGGCTCCAGCTGTGCTACATGACCAGGACAATGCAGGCTACAGCCAAGGACATCAGCTGGGCAGGGAGGAGCCTCAGGAGCCCCCAAGTCTGCCCAAAGCCACAGCTAGGCTGAGCCACCTTAGCAACCCCTTGGAACCATAGATTCCCACCAAGATTCTCCTTCCTGTAAATTACTGCTGTGAGGCAATAGAGGATGGTTTGGGTTCATTTTCTTATTTCCCTACCACTTCACTAGCCCAGTGCTGCCTCTCCTGGGAATGGGACACAGCCATGCCTGTGTCTTCATGTGCGCATGGAGCAGCACCCTGGAGGGGCCAGAGCACTCCCAACTGCAGAGGAGCTGTGGGACTGTGCTGCAGCATCAGCTCTGATGTCGGCAGTGCCCAGCAGTCGTGACACCAGTGGGCCGATGGTGCTCACTAGGTGTGACCATGGCCCCACGGCCCAGGACACGTCTCTGATTGTGGAGCCTCTCGCGCTGGAGCGAGCGGCTGTTGGGAACTACTGGGGGTCCAGCACGGGGAGAGTGGGCGCCGGGAGTCACTGGGGGTGCAGCATGGCGGGGCACCGGGGGTTTCTGGAGAACGATACCGGGAGCGGCGCTGGTGGCTCCGGGGGTCCAGCACGACGTGCGGGCGGTACCGGCGGTTTGGGGGGGCGGCTCGGGGCGCGGTGCTGAT